GCTTGGAGCGGCGCTGGGAGGACCTGGAGCGCCGGCTCCTGGACCTGCGCGAGGATTCCTTGTCTGCTGCTTTCTCCACAGACTTGGACTGGCTCCTCTGGCGAGCAGCGGACCGGGAGCGTCTCCGCCGGGACCTGCGTGAGGACTCCTTGTCTGCTGTTTTCTCCACAGAGGTTGACTGGCTCCTCTGGCGAGCCGTGGACCTGGAGCGTCTCCGTCTGTACCTCCGCACGGACTCTTTGTCTGCTGTTTTCTCCACAGATGTGGATCGACTCTTCTGGGGAGCAGGAGACTTTGAGTGCCTGCTTACAGATCTCTGTGGAGACTCCTTGTCAGATGCTTTATCCACAGATTTAGATCTGGATTTTTCACGCTCGGAAGACTCAGAACGTCTGCTTTCAGGGACAAAGGAAGAGTCCTGCTCCTCTGACTGCTCAAGAGGCACGGAATCCTGCTTTTCCTCATCTGCCAAAGAGGGTTCTGCCTCCTCTCCCTCCTCTTCACCACTGGAAGACTCTGACTCATGCTCATCTGACGAGGTGGACTCTCTTTGTTCAGCTGTCAAGGAGGGCTCTGCATCCTCTCCTTCCTCTTCAGCAGTGGTAGACCTCGATTCAGCCCCATCAGGGGATGCGGAACGCCTGTGTTCAGCTGTCAGAGGTTCCGCATCCTCAGCTTCTTCACCGGCAGTAGACCTTGACTCTTGCTCGTCCGAGGAGGTGGAATCTCTTTGTTCAGCTGCCGAGGAGGGTTCCACATCCTCTGCATCTTCACCAGCAGTAGACCTTGACTCCTGCTCATCTGAAGACGTGGAGTGTCTACGCTCAGCTGTCGAAGAGATCTCCTGGTCCTCTGCTTCCTCACCAACCGTGGACCTTGACTCACGTCCATCAGGAGACACAGAGCGACGATCAGCTGTCACATCCTCTGCTTCCTCATCAGCTGAAGACCTTGACTCGTGGTCATCAGAAGATGTGGAGTGTCTACGTTCAGCTGTCAAGGAGGGCTCCCCATCTTCTACATCTTCCCCAGCAGCAGACCTCGACTCATGGTCATCAGAGGATACGGAATCTCTTCTTCCAGCTGCCAAGGAGGTCTCTGCGTCCTCTGCCTCTTCTCCAGTGGTTGACCTTGACTCGTGCTCATCAGAGGACTCAGAGCACCTACGTTCTGTTGTCAAAGGCTGCTCCAGATCCTCTGCTTCTTCACCAGTGCTAGATCTTGACTCGTGCTCATCAGGAGAAGTGGAATGCCTCTCCAGATCATCCATTTCTTCATCTGCAATAGACTTCTGGTCATGGCCCTCAGGGGACAGGGACTGTCTATGTTCAGAAGTCACAGAGGACTCCAGACCCTCTTCCTCCATGGGAGACCTTGGCTCATGACCTTCCTGACAGGAGGATGTGGAGTCTCTACGCTCAGATCTCACAGAGGGCTCCAGATCCCCCGTTTCTTCTCCAGGGCCCACACTGCAGTTATCAGGAGACACCGAGCGCCCTTCAGGCAATAAAGAAGGCATTGCATGATCCATTTTTTCAGCCGGGATGGAATTCAAGTCGCTGCCATCAGGGGACATGGAGGCTCTATCGTTCACTGTCAAAGGTTCAAGACCATCTACTTTTTCAACAGTGGTGAATCTCAACTCCTGCCCTTCAGGAGATGCTCCATGTTCATTTTCAGGTGTTGGAGAACGGTCCCGCACATCTGCTTTCTGAAGAGAGGTGAAGCTCACCTCCTGGCTCTCAAAAAAGAGATGGTCACGTTCAGCTGCCACAGCAGAATCCACACCCTCTGCCTCCTCAGCACGCTCCAATCTCGACTCACGCTCTTCAGGTGACCGAGCATGTTCAGATGTCAGAGAAGGTTCCTTGGCACGAACTCTTTCAGCAGGGCTGGACTGCAGCTCCTGACCTTCAGGAGTCATGGAACACTCTCCTTCAGACAAGGACAACTCCTGCCCCTCTGTTTTTCCAGCAACAGCAGGCTGCAACTCCTGGCTATCACTGGATATTGAACTTTCACTTTCAGATGCTTCAGAATGTTCCTCCAGTTCTTTTTCAACTGGACTGGATCCCAAATGACGCCTTTTGGGGGATGCTTCGTACTCGTTTTCAGACAGCACAGAACAGTCCTGCACCTCCTGCCCCTCAGGAGATACAGCATAATGCACCAGCACTGGTTGCTGCACTGCTGTGCTTTTGGTGGGGCCAGACTGCAGTATCTGGCCTTGATGGAAGATGGAACATTCCCTGCCAGGTGTCAGAGAAGGTTCTTGCAGGTCCTTCTCAGCAGGGCTGGCCTCAGCCACCTCCTGGCCCTCAGGAGACTCACCATATTCACTTTCAGGCAGCAGGGAATGCTCCTGCACTTCTGGTTCTGGAACCACAGCCTCCTCCTGCATCTCTGCCTTCTCAGGAGAGCTGGCCCTCAACTCCTGGCCCACCCAGGACACGGCATGATCATTTTCAGACACCAGAGCAGGCTGTTGGATCTGTGTCTCTTCAGCAGAGGGTGACTGCAGGTCCTGGCTGTCGATGGACTCCAGACATCTTTCTTCAGGCATCTGATAAAGCTTCCGCAGCTCCGTTTTTTCAGCAGGGGTTGACGTCAACTCCAGACCATCAAGCCCTACTGTGTACTCATTTTCACACACTTGAGAAAGCTCCTCAGCTCTTTCAGAAGTGGTGGATGCCAACTCATGACCATCGGAGGCAACAGAACACCTGCGTTCCCGTACCACAATGGGCTCCTGCACTTCTTCACTGTAGGCAGATCTCAGCTTGTAGCCATCAGGGGATGCCAGGTGTTTCAGTTCAGATGAATTCAGCATTTCTGCTTTCTCTGCAGGGACAGGTCTCTGCTCATGACTGTCGGGCAACAGCAGAACCCCACCTTCTGATGGCACAGCAGCCACTGGGGGCTGTAGTTTTTCAGGTGTGCCCACTGATTCACAGCCATCAGCAGACACGGAGAAGCCACTTTCCAGTGAGAGAGAAGGCTTCTGGATCTCCACTTTTTCAACTGCAGCAGATGTCAATTTATAGCCTTCAGGCAAGATGGAACACCGGAGCTCAGATGCCACGGACAGGTCTGCACTCTCTGTTTGCTCAAAGGAGTTGTACTTTGCTTTGTGGCCATCGTGGCATATGGGAATCCCACTTTTAGACATCACCAAAGATCCTGCACCGTCTATTTTTCCAGTCAGGTATCTTGATTCGTGCATTTCTGAAGATCTGGAGCAGTCAACCTCAAGCACTTGTGGAAGTGTTGGACCATCTAAAGCTTTGTCAACAGATGGTCTGGACTCATGAACTTCAAAAGAAGACACTGAAATGACGTCAGCAGACACCTCAACAGAACCACACACAGATGTCAGGGAAACATCTGGAGTCTTGACTTTTTCTACAGATAAAAATCTTTGTTCATTTCCATGTGGTGACTTAAAAGACTCGCCTACAGACAATGGATGCTGATCTGTTGGTGCAGCAAAGCTGGATCCTGATCCATGTCCATCAGGAGACACAAAATGTCCACTGTCAGAAGGCAGAGAAGGCTCCTGCCTCTGGCCTGACTCACAGCCATCAGGGATCACAGGGCGGATCATCTCCGGTGGCAGGAAAGGCCTCTGAGCTTCCACGGCTCCAGGGCTGTCAGCCAGCTGGGAAGACTCACGTTCAGGTACGTGCAGAACCTGCGAGAGCTCTCTGTGCTCACCAGGGATATGCTGTGAATCGTGACCATCAGACAAGCTGGACACTCCACCTTCAGACAGGAGGGATGACCGAAGTTCCATCTCTCTTTTCAGTGCTGGAGGAAGCTCTGGACCTTCTACTTCTTTGAGAGGTGCAGTTCTGGACTCACCTTCACGGGATGCAGAGACATGAAATTCTGCTACTGAAGAAGTTTCTAGATCTCCTCTTTTTTCAACAGATGAGGATCTTGACTTGGATGTGGAGTATGGAAGTTCAGGTAGCAATGAAGACTCCAGAGCTGCTGCTTTTTCAGTTGATCCGTTTTCAGATGTCACAGACAGCTCTGAATCCTGTGTTTTTTCCACCGATGTGGATCTCAGTTCCTGGTCATCTGGGGTTTTGGAGGTATCAAGTTCAGATGTGGCAGAATGCTGCAGATCTGCTGTTTTTTCAACAGATGAGGACCTTTCCTCAACGCTCTCTGAAGTTTTGGATAATCCACTTCCAAATGATGGTGGCAGAACTGGGCCATTTACTCCATCAGACAAAGCTACTGATGTGGGACCATTAGAGGATTTATCATCGCTTCCAAAAGAAGACTGAGGAACATCTTCATCAAGACCTTTGGCTGCCTCCTGAAGTTCAGAAGATTCATGCTTGCTACTGGACTTTGCTGAGGATGACTTATCTTTTTTTTCTACAGACTTGGACCTTGACTTAACACTGTCAGAGGACTTGGAACGTTTCCGCTTGGATTTTTTTGAAGACTCCTTGCGCTTTTTTTCCACAGACTTAGACCTAGACTTGTAACGCTCAGAAGATTTTGAGCGTCGACGCTTGGATTTTCGCGAGGATTCTTTCTTTTTTTCCACAGATTTGGATCTAGACTTGTAGCGGTCAGAGGACTTGGAGCGCTGACGTTTAGATTTCCGCGACGATTGCTTTCGATCCCTTTTTTCTACCGACCTGGACCGAGACTTGTAGCGATCCGAGGACTTTGAGCGCTGACGTTTGGACCTCCGCACAGACGCCTTCCGACCTCTTTTCTCAACAGATCTGGACCTGGATTTTGAACCATCAGAGGAACCAGACCGATTCCTGAACCTCCAGGAGTACTCTTTGCCTCCTCCCTTTTCTGAAGACCTGGATCTCGATTTTGAACGGTCGGAGGACCTGGAATGTCTGCGGCGGGATCGCCAGGAGGACAACCTCTTTTCTGCTGACCGTGACTTAGACCTGTAGCGGTCGGACGACCTGGAACGTCTGCGCCCGGATCTGCGGGAGGACAGCCGCTTCTCCACTGACCTGGACTTGGATCTGTAGCGGTCGGAAGACCTGGAACGTCTTCGCCCGGACCTTCGGGAGGACAATCGCTTCTCGGCTGACCTGGACTTGGATCTGTAGCGGTCAGAGGACCTGGAGCGTCTGCGCCCGGATCTTCGGGAGGACAATCGCTTTTCTGCCGACCGTGACTTAGACCTGTAGCGGTCGGAAGACCTGGAACGTCTTCGCCCGGATCTTCGGGAGGACAATCGCTTCTCCACGGACCTGGACTTGGATCTGTAGCGGTCAGAGGACCTGGAGCGTCTGCGTCTGGACCTTCGGGAGGACAATCGCTTCTCCACTGACCTGGATTTAGACCTGTAGTGGTCAGACGACCTGGAGCGTCTCCGTCTGGACAATCTCTTTTCTGCTGATCTGGATTTAGACCTGTAGCGGTCAGATGACCTAGAATGTCTGCGCCTGGACCGCCGGGAAGACAATCTTCTCTCTCTCTTCTCCACAGAGCGGGACCTAGATTTGGAATGCTTTTTTCTGGAAACCGAATAGTTTCTGCTCCTAGAACGCGCTCTTTTAGAGGTCAAACGCCTGGAGGTGGAACGTGACCGTGATTTTTTCTTCCGCTTCCTAGACCTGGACTGAGACTTGGAACGGCTCCTTTTCTGTTTCTTTGAATCATGTTTTTTCTCACTGGTTCTATGACTACTTTTTTCAACAACATTCTCAAGCCTCATGAGAGTCTCCTTCATTCGTGCTGCCACATCAGGCTGCACATCGGATGTTTCTGAGTCTCTTTTCTCTGAGTCCTCCTCAGGAGTTGCTTCTTTGACATCCTCAGCCTCTGGAGTGTCTTCCAACTGGCCTTCCTCTATAAGTTCTGGACCTGCTTCTGCATCAGTCTCAGGTGCTGGACCTGCTTCCAAATCTTTTGTCTCTGCCTCCAACCCTGCAGCTGCTTCTGCATCTTTCAGCTCTACATCAGTCCGAGGAGCTGTTTCCAAATCTTGTGTTTCTGCTACAGGAGTCCCTGCTGAAACTTTTTCCTCTGCTGTATGTGAAGAACTTAAAACTGTTTCTGCTACTGAAGGCTCAGAAGTTTGAGTCTCTTCTGCATCTTCCTTCTCAATCACCATATCCTCCACCTGTTGACCCTGTACTCCTTCTACATATTGTACCTCGGCTGTCACTTCATGTTCCAGTGTGGTTTCCTGGCCTTTCACATCCCCTGGTTTTGGAACTGCTTCAGAAGGTTTTGTTTCAGAAACACCCAAGATTTCTGGAGCCTCTTCTGAACTCTTCCATTCTGCAGCAGGTTTTGCTTCTAGAACTACTTGAAGATCTTGCTGCTTTTCAGCATGCAAGTATTCTGGAACAGCTGCTGAAGCATCACCCATGGGTACCTCAAGCTTTTCACCTGTTTCAGAACCTTTCACCTCTACTGTTGCAGACTCTGTTGTTCTCTCTAGCCACCTCATTCCTCCAGCTTCTGATGCTGGTTCCAGATATTTTGCTTTCTCCATTTCTGAGAGCTCATTCCCTTGTGTGCTGGTCCTCCTTGCTGCAATTTCATGTTCTCCAGTAGATCCCTGAGTTTGCATATCTGTCAGTACTCCTGCTGCCATAGTGTTTTCTTCCACTCTGGGCAAAGACTCCAACACTGCTGCTGAATGACCTACTCTTTGTTCCTGAATAGATTTTGAACCGGTTTCTGACATTTGCACAGTTTCTAGGACTGCTTCTCTGCTCCTTGTGTCTGCTTCTGGAACGTGCTCCGAATCCCTTCTCTTCCTCAGCACCTCAGTGTGTGAGGGCTCTGTGTGTGTCACCATCTGTGACTGTGCAATGATGGAACTCTGGGTCTGGCTTGCACGGAGAGCTTCTCTCTCTGCTGTGGCTTGCCATGGCACCACCCCTGCAGATGCCTCAGCCTCTCTAACTGGTTCCACGCTTTCACAAGCAACCACAGGTTCAGGAGTCCTTTCTAAGGCAGGAAGTCCTGGACTTGCAACAGTCCCACAATGCACAGCTTCTTCTGAAGCTTTCACACCTTCTACTTGTAAGGACACTGAAGCTGTTGTGAAAGGTTTTGCTTCCACCCCAGGCACTGGTCTCAGGACTCCTCCTGCACCTTGTGTGTTTTCCTTCTGCAAAGACAGGCAAGGTGCCAAACCTCTCACATGTGATTCACTCTCAGGTCTTGATTCTCTCAGCAATGAAGTACCTTCTGGATCTTTTGCTTGTGGACTTCTAAAACCCTCTGCCGTGTGGACTTGTGGAGCTGTTTGGGGAATGAAGGTCTGTACAACTGCTGCAGGTTCTGAAGTTGCTCCTAATCCTCTTGTCTCTGCAACCACGTTCATACCTGTCAATCCTGCTGGAAGTGCAGATCCCTGGGTTCTGTCCACACTCCTTGTTTCTGCCAAGACTCCATGCTGTAGGAACACTCCTGATGCACCCACTGCTGTTGCAGAACCAGTGGTTCCTTCCACACTTCTGCCTTGCACACTTTCATGAGCTGCTCTAACATCTTTTGCTACAACAGGTTCCATGGTTGTTTCTAAAGCTTTCACGCTCCCCACAGCTGGTTCCATATCCTTCATTTTTGTAACAGCTCCTGGTCCTGGAGGTGTTTTGGCACTTATTTCCACGTGGGTCACAGGGGTGGCTGCAGATACTGTCACAGGATGCTGCAAAGGTACACCTGCTTTCAGAACACTGGAAGCCTCCAGAGGGCTGCCCTGGGTCATGCTCAAACTCCCAGACATAACCGAGGGCTGCAGGGATGGCTCCAAAGTTCTGCTCGCACCCCCCAGTTCCAAAGGTCTCTCCACACTTCTCACATTTCCCACATGTAGAGGTTTTTCAGCTGTTTCTGGAATTTTCACTTCTTGCCCAGGCACAGCCATGTGAGCTACAGTCACAGCACCTGGATGTGCCCAATTTGCAGGTGTAGGGGTTGCTGTCACACCACTTGCCAAGGACACGGATTCTGAAGCTGTTCCTAACCCCTGTGCTGCCCTGGGAGACACAGACTGATGAGAAACTTCCGAGTAAGTCAACACCTCCATGGCCTCAGGCTCCAGAGCTGCGTCCGAAGCTTTTACTTCCCCAATGCTTTGAGATTTCAGAGTGACTTCTGTACCTCCCAGTGCTTCTACTGAATCTTTCTGAATCTCTGATTTATTGACAACTCCAGATGGGATGCTGGACCAAGTATTATTTCCAGTATCAACAACACTGGCATTAATAGCTACAGGATAAATATTTTCATGTGACTGTTGAATTTGTTCTTCGCTAGTGCAAATTCTAGTTTGAGCTATACTAGTATTTTCTGGGATATTAGACTGGATACTTTCTAAATTAAATGGAGGATTTGCTGCACACAAAGTCCCCTCCCCACTTCCAAGATTTTCTGCAGATTGCTGAGAATCAGTCACTGAATGAGAAACAAGTCCTAAAGCTTGATTATCAAGCCCCTCAGCAGGTTTGGAGCACAGTTCTGGCTGCACATGGCCAGCCAGGTTTGCCTCTGCAAACACTCCTTGCTGTACATTCACCTGGGAGCTGGACTGCTCTGGCACCAAGGGAGGGGCTGGCTGCACGCCTGCAGGCTCTCCGGGACGCGCACTCAACTTGGATTCCTTTGGTTGCTTTTTATGCTTCTTCTCTTTCTTCCTTTTCTTCTTCTTTTTCTTCTTCTTCTTGCTTTTGTGCTTCTTGTTTTTCTTTGCTTTTTTTCTAGGAATTTCATCTTCACCTGTAGAGCTCCTTTTTGTAGACTGAGTACTATTTTTCACAGTATTTTTGTCTACATCTAGAAAAAATGACATTTACCTTGTAAACATTTGTAAGACTGCATATAAAAGTTCTTTCAGATTAGTTGTAAAGTATGGACAGAGGTACAAAACAATTCAACTTACAAACCATGCCCAATTCACTGAAGTTCCACACACACAAACAGGACACACTCCCTTCCCAGCTCTCTTTCCTCCCTCTCAGAGTTACTTTAAATAGTAAAACAACACTTCTTTCAAAAAATTACCCAAATCTTGTTAGTCAGGACAGAGGCTTAGAGGGAACACAGCTCTTTCCACGTAGTATCACAGTCATGGAATTGTTTGGGTTGGGAGGGACCTCAAAGCTCATCTTGTTCCACCCCTGCGATGGCAGGGACACCTCCCACTGTCCCAGGCTGCTCCAAGCGCTGTTGGGCACTGCCAGGGATGCAGGGGCAGCCCCAGCTGCTCTGGGCACCCTGTGCCAGGGCCTCACCATTCTCATAGGGAAAAATCTTCTCCTAATACAAGATCTAACCCTGCCCCATGGCAGTGAAAAGCCATTCCCTTGAAGAGAGGAAGATTCTGGGAGTGTGTCAGCCTCACCTCCTTGCTGAGACCATGGGACAGATCCTCCTAGAAGCTCTGCTAAGGCACATGGAGGACAGAGATGTGATTTGAAACAACCAGCATGGCTTCACAAAGGGAAAATCCTGTCTGACTTTCTGTGGTGGCCTGGCTACAGCTGTGGGCAAGGGAAGAGCTACAGATGGCATTTATCTGAACTGCTGTAAAGTATTTGACCCAGTGCCCCCACAACCCTCTCCTCTCCAAACTGGAGTGAAGAATTTGACAGGTGCACTGTCAGGGGCATTAGCAGCTGTTAAGATGGTCACAGGCAGAGGACAGTGGTCAAAAGCTCAGAGTCCTGATGGACATCAGCTACCAGTGGTGTCCCTCAGGAGTCTGTACCGAGACCAGGGTTACTCAATAGCATCATTAATGAATCAGTGTTACTCAATATCGTCACTAATGACAGCAGGCTCAAGTGCACCCTCAGCAGTTTTGCAGGTGACACCTCTGAAGGATGGGGCCATCCACAGGGATCTGGACAAACTCAAAAAGTGCCCCATGGGAATCTGCTGAGGTTTAACAAGGCCAGGGGTTGCACTTGGGTTGGGGCAACCCCTAAATCAACCCAGACTGGGATGAGCAGAGGGAGCAGCCCTGGGAGAGCTGGGCCTGCCTTGAGCTGAGCCCCAGCTGGGAGCAGCAGAGGGATTGGGATTGTGTCCCTGAGCCCCCTCAGGTGATTTCCCACCTGCAGAGCTGCCCCAGCACAGGGAGGAGCTGGAGCTGCTGCAGAGCCCAGAGGAGGCTCCAGGATGGGCAGAGGATGGAGCAGCTCTGCTGGCAGGAAAGGCTGGCACAGCTGGCATTGCTCACCTGGAGAGACTCAGGTGACCTAACCATGACCCTCCAGCACCTGAAGTACAGTAAAGGTGGTGGAAGACTACTGACAAGAGCCTGGAGTGACAGGGCAAGGGACAGTGGGTTCCAAATGAGGGACAGTAGGGTTAGATTAGATCTCAAAATAAATTCTCCCCTGTGAGGAAGGTGAGGCCTGGCACAGGCTGTCCAGGGAAGCTGTCCCATCCCTGGAGGTGTTCAAGGCCAGGCTTGACAAAGTTTGGAATAACTCAGGATAGTGGAAGGTCCCTGCTCTTGTCAGGGAGTTTGGAATGAGAGAACCTACAAGGTCTTCTTCCAACCCAAATCATTTTATGACTCCCCTGTGTGGTGTCCCTGCATCCCCTGGCAATTGTCTCTCTCCAGCTTTCCTGGGGCTCCTCCAGGCCCTGCAAGGCCGCCCTGAGCTCAGCCCAAAGCTTCTCCTGTGCAGGTGAGCAATGCCAGCTGTGCCAGCCTTTCCTGCCAGCAGAGCTGCTCCATCCTCTGCCCATCCTGGAGCCTCCTCTGGGCTCTGCAGCAGCTCCAGCTCCTCCCTGCGCTGGGGCAGGGCTGGGGCAGCTCTGCAGGTGGGGAATCACCTGTGGGAGCTCTGGGGGTGGATGTCCCACCACCCACACTCAGTGAGGCAGCACATTCTAACAGCAGGCTGGAGATGTGCTTTCAAACCCCCAAAGTGCTGCACATGGAAGATAAACAAGATTTTATTTTCCAAACAAATTCCCAAAGTGGGTATTTATGCTATGAGACCTGACCAGCCACTGTCCCCTGCTGTGCTTTAACCCCTGAGTGAGTGCAGTGCTGCTGCTGGGTTAGAAATTCCCTGGGCATTTACTGACCAAGTTACTCACTAGGGTCTAACAAATTTGGGAAAGAGCATCCATGTCTGTTGCAGTGTGTTGTAAGGAATGACAACATCAGATGCCCCCAGTCCCAAACCCATTTTAAGGCAGTGCAGGCTGGAGCAGCTACAGGGACAGGCAGGACTGCAGCTGCAAAGCCGCATGTTCCTCTGAGAGCACTTGCTTCCAACAGGAAAGTAACAAATTCAGATGCCTGTGGGGACAAGCAAATCACTGATGGGGAAGGGGAAGAGTGAGTCTGGGATTTCCATCACCACCTTTTAATTCTGTACCTCACCTCCCTCTGGATTTAACCTTTGTCAGGTACTTGCCCTTCTGGAGCCCCAGTGCCATGTTTTCAGGAGAAAGGCACTTGATTAAAGGCAACTTGCTGGGATTTCTGTGAAGTATGAGCTGTACATTGGAGTCTGCTTGCATGTTCTTTTCAGTGATTCTATCTATACAGGCCAGGGCAGCAACACAGACCTTCCAATTAGAAGCTGTGATCCCAAAGCTCACTACTTTCCAGGATCCAAAATCTTGCAAAAGCATTTCGTTAACTGCAATACTGTTAAATGAATGTGACTTGGGATTCCACAACAAGTACAGCAGGTACGTATTTATGGGACAAGCAACTTAGACATAGTTTTTGCACCAACATTGCTTTGAATGCATTGAGAGGGAACAGCGAGGGAGAGTCAAATTTAGGGACAAAACGTCCAGCCCACAGCTGGAGAGCTGCGTTACTCAGTGGGTGAGCAACTGGGCCAGGGGTTGGGCACCAGTGGTGACAGTGACTGGGGTGACATGGGGCTGACTCCAGTCACTATGCTGGTGTCACTGACTGCTCAACAGTCACTACTGGGGTTCTGCAGGGCTCCATTCTCAGCCTAGTTCTCTTCAACATCTTCACTAACAACCCGGGCACAGGACTCAAAGGAATTATTACTCTGCTGAGGACACTAAACAGGGAGAAGCTGTTGACCCTCCTGAGGGCAGAGAAGCCCTGCAGAAAGACCTCAACAAATCAGAGAGATTGGCATTCCCCAACAGTGTGCAGTTTAACAGGGGAAGTGCTGGACTGGGCAAGCCTGGCTGTGTGGATGGAGAGCAGCTGTGGGCAGGGCCCTGGGGGTCCTGGTCCATGGCCAGCTGGAGCTGAGTGAGGAGTGCCCTGGCAACCAGGAGGGACATGGAAATGGTGGGAAAGGGTGTAAAGGGCCCCCGAGGTGCCCTGGGCAGCCCAGGCTGGAGCAGCCTGAGCTCAGAGCTCCCCGGGGCTGCAGCTCCTCCCGAGGGGCAGCGCAGGGACAGCTCCGAGCTCTGCTCTGGGACAGGGACAGCGCCAGGGAGCGCCTGGGGCCGGGCCAGGCCAGCTCAGGCTGCACAGCAGGGAAAGGTTCTTGCCCACAGGGTGCTGGCACTGCCCAGGCTGCCCAGGGAATGGGCACGGCCCCGAGGCTGCCACAGCTCCAGGAGCCTTTGGCCAGCGCTGCCAGGGGTGCCCAGGCTGGCACTGGGGGGTCCCTGGGGCTCCCTGCAGCTCAGGACATTCTGGGATTCTATAAAATAAAATTTTCTGCAAAGATAATTCATTAGATTCAGATAACCAGATACTGTCTCTTGTCCAACTCATTTTAGAGATGGACAATGGAAACATTTGCCACAGGTAGGTTTATTAACTCCCAAGTTAACATCTCTCACTTCTTTATTACCATGTGACCTTGCCTCAGTCGTCCTCACAAGAACACAACAAAAAATATACAAATAACAATAAAAATCACATCACCAGACAAAAGCAACAAAAATCACCAACCAACCAAGAACCGACCCAAACCTCCCCATGTCAGCCTCAAGTGCTGCTCCTACAGCAGAAATTAAAAACCTGAAAATGCTCAAAGTACACAAACCACTGAGCAAAAAGCCCCAGAGCAATCCCAGACTCCTGCCAGCAGAATCTCTGAAATGAAAACTTTTCTGTGCTGCCTCTGGAACTGCACTCACCCAGCACTCTGCAGTCACCTGTGTTTGAACTCCCAAAAATGATAAATGCAGTAATTACAGCCTTCATCACCTCACCAACCCTCCACAGGCAGAAATCTTATGGCAAGGACCAGTCCCACAAGAGGGGACACTCAGATGTGACTTTTTAGCCTTAAAAAATCGAGTAATTTATTCAAGATCTGAGACTGACACATCAAAATCCCTTTGCAAGGTACCTACACTGTGCAACAGCAAATCATCTTTTGACTGGACAGTTCATCACAGATCTGTTTTGTAATAAATGTTCTTTCAAAATAATCCTGAAAAGCAACCCAAAGCAGAAACTGCTTCTATCAGCATCAACTTTGGTACTAAGAACAGTTCAGTGACTCTGGAGTAATAATATATATATATATGTATATATATATATATATATATATACATATATATACATATATACATATACTTCAGGGTCACTGCAGTATATATAAAATTATATATAAAATATACATTTATATTTTATATACAATTTTATATAATAGTATATAAAATAATTCTGAATTTATGGACATATATATGCATACATATGGAAAATATTTATCTGTTTCAGTAGTGGAAAGAAAAAAACTCCAACCTGCCCTCATACCAATGTTACATATAACCAGCCCAATTTTTAAATCATTTATTTCTCTGGCCACCTCTGGATGTAAAAGCACAGTAAAGAAAATATTTAACCACATTTAATGCTCAACTTGCCAGAGGAGCAGCACATTTTCATCTCTATAAATCTGATCTGATCTTAGGCACAGTCACAACCTTCTTAGCAAGAAGAGAATTGCCAGAGGGAGTTTTATTACCTGGGTTGCACTGCAGCTCTGTCCCGAGGGCTCCGGAGAGCACTTCCTCTATTTTCTGCACTATCTGCTCACTCTGACAACTCCCAGCAGCTCCAGAGGCTTCGGAGGGCCCGGCCTGCTCAGCTGGGATCGTGTCACCATTGGGCTGCCCTTCCACATTTGCACTAACCAAAAGAAATAAAGAATCAATTTAACACAAGTGATTTTGAGCATTGATTTAGACATTTTTTGTCGTTCATATACATTTATTATATCCAGCTCTTCCGAGCAGCACTCCAGTCTCCTGAAAAAGGCGTGCTCTTAGGGAAAACTCTGCCTTTGGATAAATTCTCACTTATTCAGCTGGACACTCTGTGACTGATGAGGCTGAGACGCAAGGAAAAAAAACCTACCACATTCTGGAATGTGCCACATCTCCCGTGCTCGTACGGCCTTGTAGGGGTTTCCTCCACAAAATCAATACACGCAACGCGCTCCCTTCCAGCTTTTCCTTGCTCTTACCAAGGTTTTCCTTCTTTCACGAGATAAACTCGGCAAATTTAGCCGTAAATCAGACCAATCGTACAGGCGCCTGCCCCGACGGGAGGGCAGCACCGAAAGAGCGGAGAGAGAGCGGGTGGGCGCGTCCCTTCACCGTCTTCTCTCGGCCCCCGGGCCGTGTCCCCCTCAGGGCGCCCGCT